CAATTTGATCTCATTTATTTTAATTTAATTTGTATTAAAATATAAAAACATTAAATAAATAAAATAAATAAATATAATTCGAATGTAATTTAGTGATTCAATTTAATTCATCTAAAAGAATTGTGAAAAAATCTCAAAAAATTTTCAAATATTTATTCTCGAAATAAAAAATTCTTTTTAAAAATTCAGCTATCAAAAAAAAGAGAATCACAATATCGCCATTCCGAAGATATTTTTTGATAATTCAATTTTTCATATTTCATAAAAAGAGAGAAATAATTTGCCAAATTTTTCGTATAAGGCTGAATTTAAAAAGTTATAATAATTACATTAAGTAGATCGACGGTATCTTTGAACATTTCATTGAACATTTCATCATCTTCATTTAGCGTCAATAATATGGCTCCAGTGTTTTGGCAAATAATAGAAGCTCTATCAGCGTCAAACGCTTGAGGATATATTTTAATGCACTGATTTGATAAATAAGTCCAACCAAGTGGGCATTCCTTGGGATCTGAAAAAAATTGTTCCGTTATAATATTTAGAGCCATAAGATTGCAAAACTATTTTCTCAGCCGGAATATTCTATTTTCTCAGCCGGAATATTCTCCACATTATCAAAAGCTTTAAGTCAATGCGATTTCTGAAGAAGGCATTATATGGATTAAAGCCTTTAGCAACTTATTTTCAGAAATCTTATTCATCGATGTGATTAAATCATCTATCTAGAATAAAGAATAATTCAGTAATCGCCAAGCATTCAATCTGTATCACCCAAAGTGATTATCGCCTTCCTTATGGACCACAGCAATATTTGGTTGTATATCCTGAACAATCTGATTTAAACTAGGATATGTCTCCATTGATAGAAAATTTATAAAAAATATCGACATTTCAAGGATCGACGAACCAGCATTACACGTTTCATTAGTTTTGCTGGAGCTTTTGGTTCAATAGTTACTCTAGAAAGTCAAATAAGACAACGGTCTTCCAGAAAATAATCTATTTTTTAAGTATTTTCGGAGAATTTCTATTACTTCTTGTTGTAGTTGAATCCGTTAACTTCTCAGATGAAGCAAGCATATAAGTTTTCCTTTTAACGGAAAAACTACGTTCATTTCAATTTTTTTTCAAAGAATTTTTAATATTAAAATATACCTTTGAGCTAAAAATTTTTTGGAGAAAAAATTTAATTTTTTTTAATATATCATTTTCTATTTACCACTTGAAAAGCTTAATTTCCCTAGCCATATTTATTTGTTATTATTTTTTAAAATTATTTCGAATTTTTTCGTTTCAGTTCTTTTTTAAAAAATTAGACTTCTTCGTCGACCATCCAACAAATACATATCCAATTTAAAGATTCATTCATATAATATTTCCTTATTTTCAGTAAAATTCAGGTGTTAGAATTTAATGGGTGGGCATTGCTTATTCTATTATCCTAGTCGCAATATTATTTAAATAATTAAATAAGCAATCGGTTTTTAATTAAAATTATTATTATTGAGTATACCTCATATGATTACATAAATAAACAATCTATTTTATTATTATTTTAATATTATTTCTAAAAAAACTTCAAAAGAAGACATATTTTCTATAAAGCATAAAATTTTTAGCTAATTTTGATTAAATATAAGCTTTAAAAAAAAAAAAAATTGGTAATTGATCTAATATTTGGGTTATCTATTTATTATTATTTATTATTATTTGCAAAGTTGATTATATATGAAACTGCGATAATACAATATCAATCCCTTAACAACTATGTTCATATTGTATTTAGAACAATAAAAAATTAAGAATTGAAGAATACAATGATCGCGGAAAGAATCTTATTGTTAAAAAGTGGGGGTAAAGAGCAAAAGGCTAATATTTAAGTCAGAAATCAGAAAAATGCCTCGTGGAACCAATAGTACTGCTTTATTCAGCATAACACTCGTTATAACCGTGTTAATAAAAATAATAGAAACTAATTTAGCTTGGAAAATTTAATAACATTGATGCTAATACAGCTTTGATAATTTTTACTGTTATTATTTTGTTATTTGTAGTACCTTATTAGCCGAAAAATTCGAGGCAATATGAATCAATATTTTATAAATGAAACCTTGTTTGTAGAGGTCTATACGATGAACTCACAAGTATGTAGCCGCTCTAATTTAATCTCATAAAAATCTTAAAGGAAACATAAACCTATTATTTTAGTATCATATTATATTTCTTAAATAAGGGCGAAATATTAAGTGTTTTCCAAAATTCCACATTATCACTTGAATTAAGTGAACGCTCTCGAAAATGAAAATCAGAAAGGAAGAATAATATCCAAATTATTGATCATAACTAAAAAAGAAGAAAATTAAGACCATAAGGGAACTTAAATAGACTTTTGTCCATTTTACCAAATACCAAATACGTCACTCACATAAAACCAGTCAAAGGTCTATTCATCGTCTAATTCCATATAATACTGGTCAACCTGGTCTCCTCGTCTTTGATCATTCATTAGCTGGTTTAGCAACTAATGAAATATATGTCAACTGCTGTGCTGGGTGACGGAGAACTTGCATTTAAACAAAAGTGAATGCTATCAGAAAATATATATGTATCTTAAATATGAGTCAAAAATTAAAAATAATTCAAAGGTAATATAGATAATTCCTTAATATAGATTTTTTTTTATATTAAAAATATATATTGTGCATAAAAAATATCCAAATTAAATGAAGCAATTTAATGTTATACCGATTAATAAAATTCCAAATACTGATAAAACTGATAAGAACAGTAGATTAATTATAATAGGCAGCATTTGATTAGTTCATTGGGTGGATGATTTTTGCAAATATCAATCATATAAAAATAAAATAAAAACATTCTTCTATTTGCGCTTCATTTCGATTGTTCTAAAAATAATTCTTATTATTTATTTCGATAATAATATAAAATATGAATAGTAATCGAAAATGATGAAAAAATTTATTAATAAATTAGAGCTCTGAAGCGCAATGAAATCGAATTCCCGACTTTTCTTTTTTTATAAAAAGTTAATTCATTTTAGTTAAGAATTTTAAATGAACAAAATTTTAAGTGAAACATTTTTTAGCTTCTAATCTGCTAATACAATAGACAAGAAATTTATGATATGTAAATTATATAAATTTATCATTTAGAAATTCTTACCCTCATCTTGATTTCTTATCTTATCAGTTTTTTTCATAAAAATTTCCAAATAAATTTTCTTTAATTTTACAATTTCAACCGAATATTTTGCTTTTTAAGATTTTTATAACTTTATAGATTCAATTTTGAATTTTCTAGTAAAAAATTAGTCAACTAACTGATAATTATGCGACCAACGAATTAGCATTTATTTTCGTTTTCATAACTGATAAAATAATTAAAAATACTTATTAAGAGAAAAAAAAAACAATCTATGATAAAATCGGCTGAATAGGAAATGAATGCAAATGCTATGAGGTTTAATTCATATTAACGTTGTCTTTCTTATAAATGATCTTTTATAGAGAATATTCTATTCGAGCATAAACCCCACTTCATATTTATTTATTTTCTATTTTTACGTCTTCTTCTTTGCAGATTATCTTATTTGGGAATAATTTTTTAGCGCAGAAAATTTTTTAATAAAAAATTCCTTTTTTCACCACTTTTGTAAGTGGTATGGATCACTTTTGGAACTTTGGATTCTCTATGAGACCTGGCAGATTGAGGTATGTTTATGAGCATAGGTGAAAAAGCGAATGGCTTCATTGAAATTCAATTATAATATCGAAAAATCTATGGCCAAAAAATTCACCCTATAATAGTCGATGAAGCCAATTTAAAATAGAAATGTGCTGCGGTATTGGAAAAAGTTTTAATTGTCCTTATTTTTTGTTTTTTATTAAAAATATTTCTAAACTATTTGTTTCTTTTTTCGAAGAAAAGAGAATTTTAGTCGAATATACTGTTAAATACTGCTATCTGCTAATCACCTAATCACCTAATCACCTTATGAGGCAACTATAATAATGCCTCTGGTATATTTTAAAATTATTCGATTCCCTCCAAAATTCCAGTACTCATATTCTCAAATAGCTAAAATCGAGTACCATTAATACTAATAATAAATGAAATTAGGCCAGAATAAAAATGAAATATCAGCTGTAAGAGAAGAATTCATTATTTATGATTCATTGAACATAAGGATTAAATGATCAAATAAAAGCTATTTAATCCTATAATATAAACTAAATTTTGACGAATAATAATTCTTTTCACTTCTTTTATCAATATATCAAAGTATGAACAAAGAAGAATTGACAATATCATATTAATCATATCTGTAAGATAAAACTAATCGAAAATATGCTAATATGGTAAATATGGTAAATGGCGATCTAAATAGCAGTAGTGCTAATAATAGTACTAACAATAATAGCAATTATAATAATGATAATGATATTATGATAATAATAATAATTAATAATCAACAATAATAATAGCAATTGATGATCAAAAATAATATAAACAATTTAATAATAACAATATTAATAACAATAATAATGATGATAATAGCAGTAATGACAACAATATATTAATAGCGACAATAACAACAACAGAGACAATGGTGTTAATAATAATAATGACAACAGGTGTTAAACAAAAATAGGAATGATAATGATAATTTCTCTTTGATTTTCATCTGCTTAATTTTGAGAGGATATGTCAAATATGATAAAAGTGGATGAATTTCTCTTGGAACAAAAATTTTTTCCACTTTTCCAGGATTTTACATTCAGTTAATTCTTCTTGACATATTGTTATTCCGTTAAATGACTGATATATGAATGAAAAAAACAAACAGGTGCTAATTTTTTTATAATGAAAAGCAAATTCACTAATTTAAAAATTTAAAAAAATATCGTTAACGAAAAGTTTAATTTGTTTTTTAATAAAATTTATTTCTAAGAAATTTGAAAGAAAAATCTGAGAAAAAAAGAACATTCATGGAAATTTTTATTGTAAAATATTTCAAAGACGAAAAATTTTTTATTTTTTTCATTAAATTTTGACTTTTACATTAAATTTGAAATAAAATTTCGCAAAAATTTTTTTCGAATAACATTAGTTTTTTTAATTTTTTTTACATAAATTGCGCTAAGATATCAAATTTTTTAAATTTAATTTATTAAATTTTAATTTTTTTTCTATTCTGAAAATTGCTAATTTCAAATTAAAAAATCTAGAAAAAAACTATTTATGCAAATTATAAATTTTTATTAACGAGATTAGTCAAATATTTTTGAAAAAAATTACTTGTTGAAGGTCAAGTAGTTCATTTAGAAATAGTTGAAGAAAGCAAATATTGCAGAAAACAAATAAACATAAGAGGTTTTTGGTAAGGATTTATAGGAGAAATAAGAGTATATATAAGATAAGTAGGACAGTACGTTGGTATCAAAAAAAAAAACCATTAATAATTGCTTCCATAAAGGGGGTGCAAAATGTTGCATATAAAATTCAAAAAAATTTGGTAATTTGCAATAATTTTTCGCTATTAAAACCACCATAATAATCTAACTATAAACAACAAAATAAAGATTATTTTCGAGTATGAAATAAAAATGGTACCAATCTGATTAAATTGCCTTAATGTTAATAAAAATGATTAGGTGGAGCGATAAGAAAATTTTAAGCTAACATGCAAAATTTTAATAGACATGCTTTGCCTGTCATACAAATATTTATCATACTTATCAAATCAGTAAAATAGAAAAATTATTAGATCTCTCATGCATATAATAAATTTATTTGCTTGATGATGAATATTAGAATTGGAGCATAGGGAAAAAAACTTATTTAAGTTTATTTATTTATTTAAAATTGGTTTTCAAATTTCTTTCAAATTCTTGTAAAATCATAAGTTAGCGTTCTTAATCCCGTAAATGCACTTATTCCCCTCTGTAATTCGCTCACTTCCCAGAGCATCTAACCCGCTTTATTACGCTAATAATTCGTTAGCAATCTTCATCGACCTTTGAACTGCTCTTCCTCCTTTCCTCTCTCTTCCTTGTATT